CTGCGGCGTGTGTGTTTTCTGATTTAGCGAACGTGAAAAAATATAAGACCATGGCTGAGATTATTTACTTGCCTCTGGGTCGGTCTCTTTGCTAGATATTGGGCCGAAAATAATTATGCTAATAGGCCAAAATGAATAAAGGCCGATAAATCTCGATCAAGAGGGCCAAAAAATATTAGCCCGTTGGACTAGAATAATACACCTAAGATGGGTCTCGAATACTACAAAGGAATCGAGAAAAGGAAATTGACGGAACCAAGATACGAACTTAAAATGAACGGCAACCAATAAACCAAAATCGNTTATATATATATATATATATATATGTATATTGTACATCAATTAATAAATAATAATAAATATTTAGACAATTAATGATAATTAAATATTTAATAATAACAACAATAATAATAAATAATAATAATATTATTAAATAATCCCAAATAATTTATAAATTAACGGGGCATTACATTCCTAATGTCACAGGTAGGTGCACCTTCCCTATTGGTGTGACTTTGTTGCCATTAAACCGATAAAGGGTTGTACGAACTAGCTCGATCTTGATGTCCAGGTCCATCTGCCTCAAACATTGAGAAAATGATGTCTATTGAGATTCAATTGTTGATGAACACCCTCTGCACGTCATAGCTTACGACCTCCGCTTTAATAACCAAGGCGTCATTGAGCAGGATAGAGATACCCTGCACATCTTCCATCCCAAACTTGAGTGTGACTTCGAGCTATTAGACTTAAGACTTCTGCGACCTACTTTTCAACTTTGTTGCCGTGATACATCCTTTTCTTTTCATTGTGAGAGTCCCCATCAGTAGGACCTACTGCAATCATCTTGATTACGTCACTCTTGAGTGGTCTATTCTCTTACTCGTCTAACCTTCTTTGTTTTATACACGACCTCCCGGTCATTCCTTTTTTCTTTATCTTTTAGTACAAACTCCTTGAGGTGCTAAGCTCGAATGAGCTACTCAATTTCGTCTTTTAGGTCTCGACAACTGTTGGTCGAATGACCATAGCCTCTATGGTACCAACAATATAAATCGGCTCACTACGATACGTACACTCTCCTCCTCATAATGTGATTAACTCAGGAAAGGATTCTAGTGTCCTCTGCTTCTCAAGGACCTAAAAGACCTCTTTCTGGAGTACGCCCAAGGGCGCGTACTGGTCGTGCTTATACCCTGCCTTGACACGTTTTTATGACCTACCTCTTTGTTCAGAGACCTCTTGTCACTTGGGCGAGGCTTATCCTCGACCAGTTTGACCTTGATCTTATCACCTTGAACGAAGTTAGTGTCTAGTGATTCTTTTATGGGGAAAATTTCAAAACTAGTCCCACAGGTATAGGGGGGTGACAATTTTGGTCCTGACGGAATGCAGAAAATATGAATAGTCCCACAACTTTTAAAAAATGATCAAAAGTAGGACTTTGTCGTCGGATTTACTATCTCCGGCCCGGAACGCTATGTGGCGCACACGTGGCTTATTTTTTTACACGCTGACATCCGACATGTTCATAATTTTTTACAAGTTGTGGGACTAGTTTTGAATTTTCTGCATTCCATCGGGACCAAAAATGTCACCCCCTATACTTGTGGGACTAGTTTTAAATTTTTTCCTATCTACGTCGGATGACAGCGTGTAAAAAAATAAGCCACGTGGCGTTCCAGACTGAAAATAGTAAATCCGGTGAAAATCTCCTACTTTTGATCATTTTTTAAAAGCTGTGGGACTATTCATATTTTCTGCATTCCGTCGGGACCAAAATTGTCACTCCCCTATACCCGTGTGACTAATTTTTATTTTTTCCCTTCTTTTATGTTAATGTAATTACTATACTTAGCCAGCAACTCATCGAACGACCTCGTAGGCTTCTTCGCCAATAAGTTTTTGCATGGTCCTAGTCAGAGGCCTTGGGTAAGATCGCTGCCTTGTCTCTTCGGAAGTTGAGGGGACCTCCACACATTCTTTAGTGTATGAACTACATATTAGCAGGAGTTTCTCCTTCTCTTTGTTGCATGGTGATAAGTGTTAGGTAGGTCTTCTCATGATTTCTCGCGTTCAAGAACTGGTTAATGAACTGGGAGCTGAACCTCGCTAAGTTGTATATCGATCCGGCGGGTAACTAGTGGAACCAATCCTGCGCCCACCACTTTATCGTGGTGAGGAAGGCCCTACAGCAAACAACATTGCTATATTTGTGAAGAACTTCTATATTCTTGAACGACCTCAAGCGCCTGGACGGATCTGTAGAACCGTCATAAGATAAGTTCAACTCACGGAAGTTGTTGCGCAAGTCTGCCTTCAAAACCTCTTCGAGAAATGGGTGACCATTGATCCTTGGTGCTACTTAACCCCTAACCAGAGTAGACAATTCCCACACTTGGGCTGCAAACCTCTCAAGCGTGGGGTCCCGAGATCCTCGTGATATGTGATAAGGTGACAATGTAGACCTCGTTTCGGCTGCCTCTTACCTCTTATGAAGTTACTGTTGTTACACAACTAGATGTGGCTAGTTTCATGCCTGACCCGAGCTACAACCATTGCCACAATCCGATCCAACTCTAGGTGCCTCCTGTGCCCTAGGATTGACCAATTGACCTTCTTCCTTACGCAGAGGTCGATTGACCCTTGGATCCTACTATAGAGTACGAGATGAGTCCCGACCTTTGGTCGATCTCTCGAGGAAGGCAGTTTGAAATCTATATTCAGTATCGATCACAAACAAAAGTAAAATACGTCCTAAACACTTTAATCACAATTGGTTTGGAGAACTATCTAAAACTAACTAGAACTAGAAAAGCGAATAAATCACTACTAGAGTTCGAGGGGTCGGGAAATCTCATCAAGTCCTAAACTATGTTGAACACTTATTTGTACACTTATTTTTTCAGTTACGTGAATCAATAAGCCTACACGTCTAAGGGTTTATACAATAACTTTTCGTAACAAGAGCAGACACATAAACGACAAACTCATTCAAACAAGTAACACATAGACAACACTTTTACGAACTAGTCTACTCTTTCGAGCCTAGGTCGAACAACTCCTCCTCTTTCAGTTCTAAAAGTTGTTTATTTAGATTAGAAGAAAATGTTCACCTCATACGAGCCTAGGTTCAACGCTCCTCCCCTTTAAGTTCCAATATTTGTATACCTAGGAGGTGAACAATCGACTAATTCCTAATAATCGAGTGACTCGCATAGATTGAACAAAGCACATTCAATACAATTCAGAACAGGAATAAAAATTCCTAACCCTAGGTGAATGAATTATCTCATACTTGAATCAATTTCATGTTAATCAAATCAAAGAACATAAATCCAATCAACAATAATAATAGAAAAATGAAATTTTATAATCGGTCAGGAATTGCAAAAGTTCAATCCGAATCTAAAAAGCTCCAAGAATCCAAGCATAAGCAAAAGAAAAAATTGAGTAATTACAAGAGATTTTTGGTGTTTTTCAGAGCCTTTTCTAATCTATCCCGGACTGATAATTTGTGTTCTCAAAGATCTCGAGTGTTTTCTTTTGGGTTGGGCACTAATCCCAATGAATAACCCTTAAAAAACGGCCCAAAAAAACAAATATTGAAAAATAGCTCGCGATGACCCGTGGGTCGCGGGTGCTGTTCGCTGCTTTTGGTGGCCGCTAATTGCGGGCTGGCCGCGGGGCGCTGGTCCGGGGAGCCTGGGACACTGCTATGTCAGCGGGACCTAGGCCAGTCTGCAGGGCACGGGTGCAGCAGGTCGCTGGTCGCGAGTAGGCCGCGGGGCGCGGGTCGTTGGTGACAAGGGGCCGTGGGTCATCGAACGACTGCAGCCCGAGGGTGCTGCGCGGCGATGCTTATGGAGGCTCGACGACGGAGTGGCTGTTAGGACTGAGCAGCGTTCTGACAGATGAGTGGCTATCCAGGGCGGCTGAGCGAGGATGTCGTTGTACGACACTTCTTGGTGAATTTGGTGGCGCGACGATGGATGCTGCCGGCTGTGACTCGATTCGACAGAGATTGGTGGCGGTTGGAATTCTCCGCAACGCTCTAATTTCATGGGGAAGAAGATTAGGATACTTTTTCATGTGGAATGACCATTATGCCCTCATTTTACTTCACTCATTTAGTTTTACATGTGATTTTGGGCTTGGTTCAAGTATTCTTGTAGGCTTCTCTACTATTCAATCATCACTACCTAATGGACTGTGGTTATTGCACTTGGCCCGATTCAATCCACGCCAATCACTATGCTTCTTGCCATTTTCAATTGTGTCGAATGAGGTTGAACTCTCGATGTTCAGTCACGGTTCATGACCTGCACACCTCCAATAACAAGACGACAAAAGAACACGGGTAAACGAAAGAAAGCACTAAAAAATCTAAAATAAGATAAAACACAAGAGAAACGACTAAGTGGACCGAAAAAACTAAGAAAAGACCTAAAACGAGGGAAAAATAGAAACAAAACAATAACGAAGAAAAACAACAAAAATAGGACAAACAACCGCCAGATCCTGCCTTTTCGGAGATCTCTTTGACGTCTTTGACACCAGGGTTAACGTCGAGCGGGGTGCCAACAGTGTTTCCTTCAGTGTAATCCATGCCTCGACCAACGCTGACAAGCCTGGTGTAGGGCCTGTTCCAAGTGGTTGCAACGTTCACGCCATATCCAATTCTTTAATTGATATTTTGTTTTGGGGAGGGGAATTCTCGTCTGCCATGATCTTCAAAGTTCCTTTGTAACAATTTGTAAAAAAATCTGATTAGCCTTTTATAAGTGGTGAAAGACTAGATTCTTCCCACATACGACGCCAATACCATATGCAAATTGTCATGACCCGAATCGAATTGCACAATCTTCACGTATTCCTACCAGCTTGGTTTTTCGGTAACTTGCAATGTGATGGGATGAGTCTCGACATACACACTCCAACGCTAAAATTAGTGTATGCTTTAGGGAGTACTAAAAATTGTAACTACGCCTATATGTAATGTTGTGTGCAAGTAAATGAACCTGTATCTTAATACCTAGGGTACGTTGTCCCCCACGTGAGACCGAGTCTTCTCTCGCTCTTCCAAATTCAACAGCGGAATAATCTACGAAGTGAGCTAAAGTGATGTCCAACAAGGAATCACCTGGTATTGTATTGCATACTGTGGCTGGAATCCAGTTTCATTTCTGTCCAGTATGAATTGCGAACTCTAAATAATATTGCCTTTGAAAAATAATGGCAAACTCAATTCGGGTTTACGGAGGGAAATATGGAAAATTTGCAGTGGAATAATCTGGTCAGTGTCACTCATGCTAACATTGCAATTTGGTAGCTCGTACATTTCATTCTTCCTAAAAATAGGTTGCCTTTCTTAATTCCTTGTTTAATCGAACTATATTTTCTTCAATTTCCTACTGTTTGATTTGACTAATCGAACTGCATTGTCTTGAAACTGACTAGTTGCTGATTTTTTTCTTGTTTGAATTTAGGGTTTGGTGTGTAGGTTTCCATTTGCTTTGTAAATTATTGCATCTATGAGGACTGATGATATTTCATGGATATGAGGATGTTTATGTATTATGAGCATAGTGGTTTCACCTTTTTATCATGATTGATTTAAGGTTGTCGTCTTTATATTTTATAATGTAAACTAATATTTGTTTTAGTTACTTATCCGTGCAGAAAAGGCATTGAAATTCATGATATCAGGCCCTAGAGACATGGGTCTTGCAGCCAGAAACGTAGAAAATAAGCCGTTTGTCTTTCTAGGCGTTCTATACGGTACATGTACTTTTATTTGCATACCTGAATTTGCGCCAAAAACCACAAGTTCTACTCTTTAACTAGGCTAGGAATCTAACTCTGGATATGATGACCTATCCAATTGTTTCTAAGGTTCCCTTTCTTGCTTATATTTATCTAATAATGTTTTATATCTGAGTTCATTAGCTTGATGTTTATACTCTCTCTCTCTCTCTCTCTCTCAGGATATGATCTTTTGGCATGCTCTAAAATTGCTATGTGCCTTCATAGATATGTTATAATAATAATTTATAATGTAATGTTGTGTAAATAGGTCTTAAGCTATCTAATATTGATGTGGTGTTATTATATCCTTCTTACCATTTTTATTAACTCTACTATTCTTGTATGGTTTTTGCAGAAAGTGCTGTGGCAGGAGCTGCTGCTGGGGCAGTGGTGGAAGCTGTTTTATATCCGATAGATACCATAAAAACTAGATTGCAAGTAGGTTATATTAGTCATAAGTTTTGCATTTGCAGATACGTATGATTTGTTCTCGTATATGGCGGCATTCGGTTTTAATTTTGTGCTTCTAGCCTGTTTACAGTGTGATTACTTTTCAGATATTGATTTTCTCTCCATCTCCTGGTTTCACCCAGTGTTATGAAATGTCTTCATGGTTTTTTGAATTTCTCTCCATGTCCTGCTTTCGTCCAGTGTTTTAAAATGTCTTCTTCTTGGTATCAATTCGGAATGTTGAAATGACACCAATTGGATTCCACAAAACGTAAACATTTGACCGAGTTTCTTGTTGTCTAAGAAAAACTATTGATCTTCTGCAGAGCATGCATAGGGTTTACTGTGTTTTATATAATTTGCAACGATGATTCATTTTAAATATTATTTTGCTTCTTTTTTGTGGTTTCGATTCAGGCAGTTAGTGGTGGGAGTCAAATTGTTTTGAAGGGCCTCTACTCGGGATTGGCTGGAAATCTTGCTGGTGTTATACCGTAAGCGGAAACTATCAAACATTTTTGCCAGAGCTTTAATACTCAAGAATACACTTGTAACTTTACTTCTCTTATTACTTCAGGATATATTTCCTTTATATTACTATTTTCTTTAAAATATCCTGCATTAAATTCCATTTTCAAAGTATTTTCCAGCATTGATTTAAAAGCTTCTGAAGTCAAGCACTCTGAGAATGACCTTGAAATACTAAGTCAAAAAATGGTTTGACTCAATTTTTTTCTGCCATCATTTATTTGACATTTAAGTAATCGTCTTTCAAATATGGTTTATGGACCATTTTCTACTTTAGTGTTAGACTTTGTTAGCTGAAGTTTTGGAAGTAAATGTGAGAATAAAGAAAAAGCTTGAATTGACTGTGCTGTAATTAATTTATTGAGTGATTGGAAGATGCTGGACTGTGGTGCACTGTCAGGGATACCCGTTTTAACACTGATGGTTTAGCATGTGAACTGAGAAATGTTTTAGGTTAATGTAAGAGTTTGGTACTAGCTTGATACCTGCCTATGTAGAAAATACCAATCTTCTCTTCCAGATACCGAGACAAACAAAACGTCCATTTTAAGGAAATTACTTATTATTATTATTATTATTATTATTATTATTATTATTATTATTATTATTTGGTTTCTATATGATCCTATAGTATCTTCTTACTCTTTGCATCTACATAAGATTATTTTAGCAATGAAAAGAGTTTGTAAAACATGTCACCACAGTTATTATGTTTTAGTTATTATTTGTGATGGATAACTTCATATATTCCTTTCCCTTTTCCAGTGACCTTGAAGAACTTTGCTGACAACATAATTGTATACATAATTGTTTACAGGGCGTCTGCACTGTTCGTCGGCGTATACGAACCTACAAAGCAGAAATTGCTGAAGATAATTCCTGAAAACTTCTCTGCCGTGGCACACTTGGTAAATTTATTCTTCTTCCCCTGTTTCATTTTCTTGTTTGGTTTGAGCCATAAGTGGGTTTATTCTTCTGGTTATCATGGTAGTTTGCATCTTGGTTCGTCTGTCATGGAATTCATGGTACAGACGGACATCGGGCAACTCCATTCCTTACAAATCCATTTTAAAAGGCTATGTATTTTGTATTTGTATAATCTCTCTCCTTAAGAATAAGTCATTGAATATTTCACTTAGATGTGCATTTGGTAAATTATTATTTTGACAAAATGGAAAAAGTGGAAGTTGTGAAGCATTCAGTAAGATGTATGATTTCTTTGATCTTGTTGGAATGAATGTATAGAGCATATAGGCTGCAGGTGCTGTTGGAGGAGCAGCTTCATCTATCGTCCGAGTACCTACTGAGGCAAGTTTGACTTTAGATATATATCTCTCTCATGCACAGACGAACACACACACAGACAGTTTCTTCTTTTATTTATGCAAATGTCCACTCCCACAGGCACACGTACTAGTGAATAATCATAGATAAATGAACATATGCGTGTATATTTGTAGAAATACATGATGTGGCATATATTACATGGATGTTCCTCTGGCTGATACTGTAAGACTTGAGTAGGTAATTAAACAAAGGATTCAGACTGGCCAATTTGCTTCAGCACCTGAAGCTGCTCGCTTGATAGTTGCAAAAGAGGGTTTTAGAGGCCTGTATGCGGTATGTGTTACAATTTTTGGATTTGTTTTTATTTTATTTTTTGTTTTAGTGAGCTTTAATTTCTTTCAAAATGCGTTCACATTTATTTTTTTACGTCCTTGATAATCTCTGGCCTTTGGTACAATGAGCCCAGTGCTTGTTTAGGATATTCTGTCATCTTTCTTAACTTAATGGAGGCTATTACCTGAGAATAACTATATCATTTTTTGCAGTTTCAGTGTTATTCCCATACTTAAATTCTTATATTGCTTTGGCATAAGCTTCACTAACAGCGTTTGATTTTGAAGATTTTTTTTAAGCAATTGCTTCTTGATTTGTTATGGTGTTGCAGGGATTTGGATCCTTTCTGCTGCGAGACTTGCCTTTTGATGCGATTCAATTCTGTATTTATGAGCAGCTTCGAATTGGCTACAAATTAGCTGTTAGTCGAAACCTTTTTGTTCAGACAAAATTAAGTTGCATTTGCTTGATACATGCAGTTCACGAATGTTCATGTTGAGCCTTATTGTCTTTGTTAACTATAATTAGTAAACATCCACATTAAGAATTGTAGTTATTTCCTTCAGAACTAATGTTTCTTGCAAATTGGCTGATGAAGGATGGATTAGCATTACAGCCTCTTGAGTCAAATCCTTGGAAAATGTTTCAGGGCTACATAAATCTTGATGTCAGTTTGGTTAGAGTTAGAAAATACAAATTCTTGGCTGGATCCAGTATACTGATATTATTAATCAATGACCAGTAATTCTAATGGACATTTTTGGTTCGTCGTGATCGAGTTGCATATGCCTAAAGTATAACGGAAACCGGAAGGCTGATCGCAAACTCCTTAATATATGCTCAAGCTAGAATCAGCTTAAGTCACTTGTGGCCTATGATATAAGGATTTTTATCTCTTTTACTCTTTCTGTAGTCTAAACTTTTCTAACTGCTTATGCTGCAGGCTAGAAGGGACTTAAATGATCCTGAAAATGCAATTATTGGTGCTTTTGCTGGTAATTAGTTGTTTTATTACTTACTATACACCTCTCTTATTTTCTGTATACTGTCTCACATTTGCAGTCCCTGACGTGCGTATCTACTCACGTAAGAAGTTGCATTGACTAGCGGTGACTAAGCAATATGTAATTTGTAAATCAGGAAGCGATATTATGTCGCCATAATTTAAAATACGTAACTATGGGCTGGTTGGTTGGAATCCTTTAAGCCTCCAGTGCATGCGTCCATGTTGTTTTGGCTTTTGCGTGTGTGTTTTGAGAGTCTCTGCAGCACAAATAATAATAAGCCCCTATATAGATATATTATATATATATATATATATATATATATTTTAAGACATAAATTCTTATTGATTTTTCTAGAAGTAATTTTCTAGTTAACAGGTGCAATCACTGGTGCTATGACAACACCTCTTGATGTGATAAAAACCCGACTAATGATACAGGTGGTAATGAGATGCTATCGTGATACATATCTTAACTTTAGCATATATAAAGATCTCACATGCCTTTATTTCTGTTGTTCAACCATCAGGGATCAAAAAAGCAGTACAATGGTATAGTTCACTGCATAAATACTATTCTCAAAGAAGAAGGAAGCTCTGCTTTTCTTAGGGTATGTATTCTTTGGCTCAGATGATACTATTCACTTTTTCTTTGTTGCTTATGGATTTAATGCTACTGAACATTTTGTCTCCCTTGATTAGTTGATTATAGTTGGCTACGTCAAATTTGGTGACAATATCTGTATTTGTTTTTATATGTGTGAGATAGAGTAACTAGAAAATATAGTATACTTCGCCAATTTTCCTTGCAATAAAATATAGTATACTTCGCCAATTTTCCTTGCACTAAAATGCTTGCAAAGACTACAAAGAATGGACTACCAGTACCAGCTGGATAAGATATCAAATACCAGTGTTGTATACAAACTTCTGACTCTGCTTCACCTTGTATTTTTTCATCTATTGCTCTCTCTCTCTCTCTCTCTTTGGAGTTATTGAGCTGCTACATACAGATGCTACTAAATTGTAATTTTTTTAAAAAAATAAATAATTTCATCTTCCTCAGCTCTATGCCTGGCGGTTAAGCTCTAAGCTGTTAAACTGAGCGAAAATCCGAATAAGTAGCTGTATAAGCTTGGGTAGGTATGTATATTTGATGGTGTAATGGTGCAGGGGATGGGAGCTCGGGTGGTGTGGATAGGCATTGGTGGTTCCATATTTTTCGGAGTTCTAGAGAAGTCGAAGCAGCTGCTGGCCCGCAGGCACCCTCTTAAGGAGGATTGAAATGTAGGTCCAAGATTATTTTTCTAATAAAGATTATTAATTAATCTTCGGAGTAGCCAAGGTAGAAATTTAATCATTTGAGCTTCTTGTAATGAGATACCCTGTCTTGTGTTTATCTTCCGTATTGATTTCAAAGTAGCTAGAAAGTTGATGTTGGATCCCATGACAATGCATAAATGCTTGGTGTTTGCAGGTTTTTTTTAATCATCCAGGTTATGAGTTGTTTTCGCTATGTGATTTTGTGGTGAAGCATGAGTGTAGACTTCCTGAAAATATACCAGATTCAAACCAAGGAGTAAATAAACAACTAAACAAGAATAGGCTAACAAAATTTTGTTTTGTGGCGACCTGATGATTATGCCATCTTATATGTATATAGGAAAAAGAAAAGTGTATTGGGGGATGTTGAGTAACATGCATTTAATTTATGAAAAATGCTATAAGTACATAATAAATAATATTCACATGGAGTGGGGTCCACTTGATTTTTTTATTTTTGGTTGGACCCACTCAGTGTGAGTGTTATGTACAGTATTATGTACCTATAGTATTTCTCTTAATTTAGATGGTGGTTTGTTGAAAAATAAAATTATTATGTTAAATGAAACAAAAAATAGTTTGGCGGTCAACGTAAACTTCCAAGCCAATTTCNTTTTTTTTTTTTTCAACGCAAACACTTTTATTAAAACCTCCACCAAACAACATTGTTCAACTGAACCCCAAGACACCCACACTTACAAATGTAAGGAAGATGATCAAACAGAGAAATGATAACTCATTCCCCCTGAAGAGCCAACACGGCTAAACTACAACTACCAAGGTCAGAAGAAGAAATAAACACACACGAACTCAAACAAGTCTTAAGATACAAAACAACCTTAAGTACAGACATGCATGCTAATTCAGAGAGCCTCTCCACAGTCCCTTGATGTAAAGCTGTAGCTAAAGGTTTTGAGACTATAGAACACTCCAATGCCTACCAACCCTCATCCACAACAGTGCTCAAAGCCCATCTAATTGCAAGAAGATCAGCTTCCAGAGAGCTCCCTGCCCATCTCCAGCATTTTTGCTCCCTCCACACTGTTGTTCCATCCTTGTAAGCTACTGCTCCTGCACCAACTTTGCCATCAAGAGAAGTTAGAGCACTGACTTGGAGCTTCACAAGTCCTACCCTCCTGGAAAACTATTCATCTTGAGGAATGTTATTCACAGTTGCAATTGCTATAGTCTTTTGTTGCTCAGCCTTCTCCACTACCTTCTCCATCTCATTCCAATCCTTCATAGTTCCTGCAATGACCTCAGTTTCTACCACTTGTGTTCCCCTGAACCAGCAGTTGTTTCTTGCCTTCCAAATCCTCCATAACAAACATACTGAAAGAGTCAATCTAGCTTCCCACTCTTCAACTTTTGAACCATTGCATATACTCTCCCACTAGTCTCTGAGGTTGAAGTCCTTTCTTTTGAAGTCTTCCCATTCCAACCCAATCAGTGCCCAGCATCTTGAGCTTATCTGGCAGGTGACAAACAAGTGGTTATTATCCTCTACTGCCTCTCCACACATAATGCAGGTTTGATCTGTTTCCATTCCCTTGCTTTTCATAACAGCTTTAGTATACAGAAAACCATTAAGCACTCTCCACATAAATGACCTCAGCTTAGGCATGACTTGCAATCCCCATGTCACTTTCCACATCCTTTTGGCTCTATCATCACTTGTACTAGCACTTGCCCTCAGCAAATTACCTGAAAGGATATCATTAAAAAAGCCATATGCTGACTTGACTGAAAAGCATCCTTTCTTATCTAGGGCCCACACTAATCTATCTTTCCTCCCATACTGACTCAAATGGATCATCAATATTTGTGAGGCAATGTAAGGGGGGAAAGTTTGTGACACAAGCTCAACATCCCACCCCCTTCTTTCTGGCAATATCAGGTCACTCACAGTCTTCAATCTATGCTTATCTGTCAAGTAAACACAGTCAGTTCTGCTCTCAGGTATACCAGGGATCCAGGGGAAATTCCATATATGGATTGATGCACCATCCCCTATCTGATACATGGCACCTTTCCTAAATGAATCCCTGACAGTCAACCAACTCCTCCATAGCCATGAGTCAGTGTCTTTCTTCCTCACCTAAAATAAGCTGGTGTTGTGAAAATATTTCCCCTAAGCATTTTACTTACTAACGGGTTTGGATGGGTCAATATTCTCCACAGCTGCTTGAATGCCACCAGATTCTTAAACCCTAAACCTCCCATCTCTTTGTTCTTTGCTAAGGTAGCCCAGGAAGCTTAATGAGTTTTATCATTCCCCTTAGCATTCTTACCCCACCATATGGGTTTTCTAAATATCTGGGATTCCCTCTTAGCAGACCCCAAAACCTGCCCATTAATATTGAAGGATAAAGAAGTAGACCCAAGACAAGCCATAACCCAAGCCAAAAATTTATCATGAAAACCCATTTGCCTGCACACTCTAATAAGAAAGACCCACTCAACCCTATCGTAAGCCTTAGCCATATCTAATTTGACAGCCATGTACTTATCCTTGCCTTTCCTTTTACCATTTAAGAAGTGAATGCATTCATTAGCAATAACCACATTATCCAGAATTTGTCTACCAGGTATGAATGCAGATTGTGAAGGGGAAATGCAAGAGGATAAAGTACCTTTCAGTCTATGTGCAAGAATTTTAGCAATTATTCTGTATGTGACATTGCAAAGACTAATTGGCCTATAATCAGGGAGGGTTACAGCAGGTTTCTTTTTGCGGATTAGAGAAATGAGTGTATGGTTAACTGATCTAGGCATTTTTCCAGAGACAAAAAAATTATGAACAGCAGAACAAAGACGATTTTTCACAGTAGGCCAAGAAGTTTGAAAGAAAGCAGAGGACATACCATCTGCTCCTGGTGCCTTGTTTGGGTCCATGGACATTAATGCAGCTTTGACCTCCTCTTCTGTCACTACTCTCACAAGCTGGTCATTCATTTCAGCAGTAATGGTGGATGAGATACCATGGAGACTGCAACTCTCAATGCTGGGCTCAGAAGACTTGAATAAACTCTGGAAGTATATTTGGACTTCATCCAAAATCTCATGGTTGTTAGCACACCTTCTGCCTATTGTAGTCACCAAATTCTCCAAGTTGTTGTCTTTTCTTCTGTAGTTCACACTTGCTTGGAAAATTTTGGTGTTCATATCCCCTGCTGTCAACCATAAAGCCCTTGATTTGTTCCTCCAATACACTTCCTCATCTTTATATGCCAGATTCAATCTCTTTTTAATACAAGTCCAGGCTGTCCAATCTCTAAACCCTCCTTGCCTATCAAGATCAGCAAGCTTTCTTTTGCATTCTTGTATCTCCTTCCCTGAGTTGGTTTTTCTCTTTGCACTCCAATCCAATAAGGCCAACCTCACATTTTTAATCCTCAATTGCAAACTATATAGGGCAGGACCTCCAACCTCACTATTCCAAGCAGACTGAACAACTTCTGTGAACCCCTCCTCCTTATTTCACCTGGGATCAAAATAAAATCTTTTTTTTCCTGTATCTCCACTGGGGAAAATCTCTAATAATAACATGTTGTGATCTGAAGAGGACATAGAGACTTGCTTAACCTGAGCATTTGGAGACTTAGCAAAACAAAAGGGGGATAACAAAAACCTGTCCAATTTCTCCTCAACAAAGGCAGCCCCTTGTCTGAGGTTAGACCAGGTGTAGGGGTGGCCAATCCATTTAGGCTCCACCCCACTCACCCCAGCCACAAAATTTCTAAAGTTAGCAAAGGAAGACTCTTCTCTCAGCACACCCCCATTCTTCTCATGGTTTGAGAGGAGATCATTGAAATCTCCTCCAATAAACCAGAGATCCCCCCATTAACAAACAATGCCTGAGAAGGTTTTCCCATTGCAAGGATCTATAGGCACTATCTGTGCTAGCATAGACAAAGATTGCCCATTGGCTAGCACATTCCCCATTATACAAAAATCTGAACAAGACAAAGACAGGATTTTCACCTTCTCAGACCAACATAAAAAAAGCCCACCCCTTAACCAAACTGGGTCAACACACACCCACCTATCCTCTAACTTAAACTTACTAAAAATAGAATTAACAAAACAATGTTTTTTTTTTTTTTTTTGTTTCAATTTTTTTTTTGTTTCAGAAAGGAAAAGGAAATCAGGGAGGTGAGATCTAAGGATCTCTTTGGTTTGGGAAACTGTAGAGGGCCCTGTTGGGATCTGTGAGGATCTCGTTATGTACAAATCACGAATTCAATAGCAAACGTACACCTATGCGCAGCGGATCTCAAGGTTTGACGTAGAGAACTTACGACTTAAAATTTATGTAGATCTGGCTGACCACGAACGGTTGACCGCAAATCACGTCTTGGGTTGCACGAACAAGATCAGATCAAAACCGGATCAAACGGATGCAAACAGATCAAAACGAGATTTTGCTGTCAGGCACCTTCCGGTGGCGCGTGAGGGCACGTGCGGCGTCGGATTCCGAAAGCGTCGGTGGCGATGGAAAGTTCTCGTCGAGATGGTCGTCTGGGTTACTGTACGTCTCAATCAGACTTTCGGTTAGTTCTGTAGGTCAAAATATATTTCGTCTCTGTTTACCTACAGATCTTCTACTGTATTACTCAATACACCCTTCTTCAACTTGTACCAGTGGAGCAATAAGAAGAAGATAAAGCTCAAATGAGATCTAGAGAGAGAGAGAGGCGTGGGATGTGTATATCTCGGGAATGTAATTGGGATTCTCTTCTCATGAGCTTAATGATGTATATATAGAGCTACAGTAGGGACCCTAAGGAGATTAGGAAAAGGGCTCCTTAATTAATTAGACTAACTGTGGGCCAAACCCACTCCTCTAATTAATTAAATAATACTAATGGGCCACCAACATTATATTATTGTACTCCCTTTCCCTAGCCCAAATTACATTTGAGACTCCAATAATAATTACTCGATTTACCTCCCCACGTTTAAGATATAATGTCCATTAATTAATTCGATTACTGACAATCAAGAATTAATTAATTTATTATTATTTCACCGAAGCTAGCGCTCGTTCATCACATTCTTATTATGCCGGAATTTAATCCACCTGCAGGGTTTAGCATAACAATCCTTCATGAACTCACTCCGGGGACATCATCAAACTAACGCACATGGTGACCGTAAATATCCTAACAGCACATCCTATATATAATAATATTACCCAAAACAGTAGGAATATTAATCCAGCGAACTGAACCTCACCCATGTGAATCAAAGTAATATATATTATATATATCT